CCCCTCGTCCCGCCCCTGCCCAGGACAGGTGCTACCAGGAACACCCCGAAAGGCATGTGGGTTGAGAGCTGCTGGAAGAGCACAGCGAGCGGCAGGCCTGCCGGGTTCACGGCCAAACTTCCCAGCCTGTTGGAGGCACCACAGGCTGCGGCTGCTGGTCTCAGCGGGGCGCAGGGACAAGCAGAGCTATGGGATGTTCAGGGTGAGGGGCTCGTGTTTGGACACAGAGCCCGACTTGCCAGTTGTGGGTATCCAGAGCACTGGGAGGACACACACCCTGCGTGGAAACAGCACCTGCCCTCTTACGGTCTCAGAGACCTCTACACACGGGACTGTTCCCCCTTTTAGAGATATGGAAACTGAGGCACAGAGGGGGCAAGGCGACTCCCCCACCCATCCCACAATGTCACAGAGAGCTCGGGACAGAACCCAGGAGTCACTAGACCCAACAGCCCCAAGGCCAGCGCAGGCCTCGGCATGACCCGGGCACAGCCCCAGTACAGCCCCGCGGAGCACACCCGGGCACAGCCCCAGTACAGCCCCACGGAGCACACCCGGGGCCACCCAGTGGCTAGGCCGCTGCGTATGGCTCCTGGGGAGACCAGGCAGCCCGGCGCCACCGCCCCCTACTCACAGGCGCAGCAGGTGCTTGACAATCTGCGCAGGGATCCGCGTCCCACACCGCCGCCTCGCAGATAGAGCCGTCCTGGAACCGCCTCAGCTCCGACTTCTCCCCCCAGAACCTCTGGAACTCCCGCGGGGTCGGACGTGACCGCTGGCTGTTACCCTCCCCCCTTGGGGGGCCTCAGGCCCGTGCCCCCAGACAGGCATTCAAGCACCACCCCTCTCACTGGCTGCCAGCAAGGCCACAGAGATGGCGCTCCCCTCGTCCACGGAGGCAAGGCCCCGCACGCTAGCAGGGCGGGACGTGGGACACTCAGCATGGGCCACGCAGGGCGGGGTCGGACGTGACCGCTGGCTGTTACCCTCCCCCCTTGGGGGGCCTCAGGCCCGTGCCCCCAGACAGGCATTCAAGCACCACCCCTCTCACTGGCTGCCAGCAAGGCCACAGAGATGGCGCTCCCCTCGTCCACGGAGGCAAGGCCCCGCACGCTAGCAGGGCGGGACGTGGGACACTCAGCATGGGCCACGCAGGTCTGAGCGGGGCAGACGTGGGGCTTGGAAGGCAGAAGAGCCAGCCCCTAGGGAGCGACCACAGCGTCCTGATCTGGTCCCGTGTTGCTCCAGGTTCCCGAGTGCCTCGGATCTGGCTAAACCTGATGCAGCAGACACCCCCCTCCCCCGGAACTGCACTACGGCCTGAGGATTTTCCGTTATTACGGTAGGTCCGAGCCTGGTCCCGGGGAGGGGGAGCGGAAGAGACCAGGTGCAGGGTCTCCGTTCGGCTCCATCACTCCGACTCCAGGCTCCCCCCTTGGACCACGTTGCCCCCTGTGTATTCCTCCCGAGCGGCCCCTCCTCCAGCACAGACACACGGAGTCATGCTCCGCCTAGCACCGTGCCCCACTGACCCCCCGCCTGCCCTCAGGCCAGGGCGGCGGCGCTCCCAGTTACCACCCACCAAGCCTTCACGCCATCCTCCTTCCGACCCCTCTGACAGGCTGCTGCTGCTCAGTGGCGCGTCGGCAGCCGGGGCCATGGCTTATTGCAACGCCGTCATGCTGTGATCACCTGCTCCCCCTCCCGCGTTGCCCGCTGCCTCGGAAATCGCAGGGGGAGCTGCTTGTGCAAGGGAACCGGCCTCGTGAGCCCGCTGGACAGCACCCTGCACAACAGGCCCTCGAGCGAGGCTTCTGGTGACTACGCAGCGTAAGCACAGAGGTTCCTGGGGGCTAGTGCAGCATGAGCACCAGTCCCCTGCCCTCCCCTCGCCGGCAGGAAGCAGCTTCGTCCTCACCTCCGGTCGATCCGCCTCCGGTCCCCTCTCCAAAACGCTAGCGGCAAACGCGGGGGCGAGCAAGAGCCCAAAGGAGAGGGGTCCGGCGTCCTTGTGCTTCGGCGGCTCCGCGCCGATGGGCCACTGAGGAAAAACGGGGAACGCAGCATGAACGGGGCCACCGCGGCTAGAGCGGAACCAGCCGGGGCACCCGTGCCCCCCAGAAGCCTGCCCTTGGGGATCTGTGCTCCAGGGCTGCCCTGCACGCACAAGCCCTCCCCCATGCAAGAGGCAGCTTCTACTGCAGTGCTGCTGGGCACGGGGACCGGGGGCTCCATACAGCCACCGCCCAGGCAGCAGCAACCCAAGTTCTCTCGCTCCCCTCATCAGCAATCCCCACCACGACAAGGGACGGGGGCTGCCTCCCCCACGGCCTCTCTGCTGAGACCACCACGCTGGGAGCTGGCGGGAACCTCACCTGACTCGGCCCACAAACAGCTCCAGGCAAGGGATGTTGAACCGCAGGTGATCAGCCAACTGAGCTGGAGGGATTTCCATCCACCGTTCAATTAGTCGATAAGGGGGGGAACTGCAGAGCCGCAGTGGGGTTCTCCCCCAGCCCAGGAGCTAACGCTGCTGTGGCTCTGCCTTTCAAATGCATTAAGAGCCGCCGGGCTCCTAAACACATTTAAAAGCCAGAGGTGTAGCTGGGGGCCCAGGCGTAAGCCGGGAATCAGCTGATGTCTGGCTCGCACCAGGCTCTTAATACATTTAAAAAGCAGAGGGAGCGGGACCAGGAGGAAGCCGGGAAACAGCTGTCCCAGCTCGCGCCTGGTCTCCCGCTACGCCTCCGAGAACTGGCTCCTGCACCCCACCCCCTTGCTGCCTCTCTCTGATAGAGGCAGCAGGGGTGGGGAAAGCCACTACTCGAGTGACTGGTCGACTAGTCGCTTACATCCCTACTACAGGCAGTTACAAGTAGTGACACTGGGCTGGATCTAAACCAGCAAAAGCACCATCGGCTGCACCCCGCCCCCTGAGTTTTCTAGCATCCCCACCCCCACCCGCCCACCATTGGTCCCTGCAAGCCGAGCAATTGGGCAGCTGCCTAGGAGAGATTCAAATGCTGCCCAGCAGACTGGCAGAGCGCCCATAGCCAGCAGCATGTATTTCTACTGGTGGCGCACACCTGCAGAGACCTCAGCGCACACAACAAAATTTATTCTGCATGTGGATGGATAAAGTTAGGGGGAACATTGTCCCCCTGCCCCCCCCCCCAAAGAGTATAGGCAAGGACTCTCTCTTCCCACCTCTCTCAGGCAGCCCAGCAATGGAAGAAGACAGGAGGCTGAGGGCAGAGTCAGCAAGAGAGGAGGCTTCCCTACCAGGGATGCTCGAGGAGCAGCTGATGCATTACACAGGCAGCTTGGGGTGGGGGAGGGGGGGGCTGTTACCTCTGGTGCCTGGGGCAGGGAGTGCGTCACCAGCAGCGCCCTCTCGGCCAGCCCTCGCGCCAGCAGCGAGGTGACGAAGGGCAGGGCTGCAGCCACGTAGTTCCCGCCACGATCCATCAGCTCGTGCAGCAGCTGCATCTTCTTGCAGGCCCCCTGCAGCTTGGAGACGTGCTTCAGGCTGTGGAGAGGGAAGACAGAGCCCCCTTCCCCCCGGGAAATGCCCCTCGGCTTCCTCCTGCCAAGCTACTCGAGGGGGGGGCCTGCAGCCACGTATTCCCCGCCACGATCCATCAGCTCGTGCAGCAGCTGCATCTTCTTGCAGGCCCCCTGCAGCTTGGAGACGTGCTTCAGGCTGTGGAGAGGGAAGACAGAGCCCCCGTCACCCCGGGAAATGCCCCTCGGCTTCCTCCTGCCAAGCTACTTTGAGGCAGCCATGCCAGCGGGATGCTGCTAAGGAGGGTGCAGGGAGGGTGAAACAGGGCAGGGTTGGAGCCAGAGCAGCCAGCTGGCAAGGTGAAGGCGGATACAGAGCAGGTCAGCTAGAGCTGGGGATCCCCTCTTCTCACGGTGCG